AAATGAGTTTGGTAGCTTAATCTCAACTATCATGCATCTGGCCATCTCCATGACAGTCCTATTCTTTCTTTAACTAACTCCATTTTGTTGTGGAGTGTATAAATTGCTCAACTGGTGCTTGATTCCAGCTCCCCTACATATTTCTTCAAACTCATTTGAGGTATATTATGTGCCATTGTCACTCCAAACTGATTTTATACTCAAACTAGTTTGATTCTCCACTAACAGCTTGAATTTTTTCTATTTTAAGAAGTAAACCCAAGTCATTCTCGAAAAGTCGTCTATGAACAAGATGAAGTGTTTACTTCCACTAAAGGATGGAGTATGCATTGGACCACACACATCAGTGTGGATGAGTTGGAGTTTTTCAATAGTTCTCCATGCCTGGTTTACTGGAAAAGGTTGCCTGTTAAGTTTGCCAAGTTGCTAGGCACTACATAAACCCCTACTTTCTTCTATCTTTGGTAAGCTTTGAACCAAATTTTTGTGTGAAAGTTTTAATCACTTACCAAGTGTATTAAACCTAAGCGGAATGGGTTGCTAAGTTGATTTTAGTGTCCATTTATCACAAACATAAAATAATCAAATATGAACCAATATAAAAAAAAACACCAGGTTTTTACATGGTTCGGCAAAATGCCTACATCTACGTGACCAAGTCCAAAATGAAGCAAATCCACTATGGTATACTTTTCAGTTTAATTACAAAGCCAAAGATTAAGCCTCAATTGCAAGAGCACTCTCTGTTTTGCAATGCTTCAATCTCCACCCTTTGGTCAAACTACGTACTACCACAGCAAGCTCCAAGAACACGAGACCATTTCGTCAGCCTTGACCTTCTCTCAAGGTACAACACCAAAGATCCACTTCAATTGAATCAGCTCAGCAAGCTTCTAGAACTAGCTACCTAACCAACGTAGAAGAAGGAACAAAATCAAGGTATTTTGATGAAGGTATTTATAAGCCTATCTAAGCATAGAAACCTGATAAAAAAACAAAAGAAAAATTTAAGAATATTCAAAGTACTTTCAAGAAAAAATCAGGCTTCTTGAATGAAATTGCATTGGAGAAGAGTTTATATAGAAAATATCCAGCCAATGCAAATAGACAGGTGGCCTACAAGAAAACTTTATGCTTTCAACTTTATGAAAAAGTTTATTCCATTTCTCTCGAAACCATCGACCATTGTAAACTAACTTTCCAGCTCATTGAATAACAAATTGACAAGTGTTATGGACCACAAACAATATCTCGCAAAGAGAATAAAGACAGTTCATGAGAATATTGAAATGCAATACGTGATTAAACAAAATATCTACCAGATGCGAGTGACCACTTAGACTCTGAGGTGCTCACACGATATAATAGAAAAGCAACTAAATTGAAGATGGTCACTTTAACAGAGAGTCGTCACACTGAAAAGTAAACAAAAATGATTATGCAGAGACAAGACGATGTCATGATCTTACAAATCAGTGTTCTCACACTGAGTTCATAATTTGACAAATAACTTACATTGTGCTTAAGTTCTTTGAGGCCATTGTAATAGAAATGGCCAAACCTTTTGTGCCATAATTCTGATTCATCTATGCTAGCAGATAAGCCCTAAACTTCTAGTTTTTCCTACTCAACAGAGAAGCTTTTTTCCATCATCTTCACCCTCATCAACTTACTACCCTCAATGTCTAATATTGTATATGACAGATTTTGAAAATATAGAGAGTAATTTCTCTCTAACATTTGTCCTACACTCAGTAGATTTTGATTGATTTCAAGCACATATAAAATGTTAGGAACATATTTAGTACTTGTTGGGGTTGGACAACAACTTCACCTCTTCCTTTGACCTCTACAAAGTCTCCATTTCCTGTCTTCGCTTTGGCCTGGTATGATTGATCCAAGTCCACGAAATTGTTCAGGTCTAGTGTAATATGGTTGGTGCAGCCACTGTCAATTAACCAAGTTTTTGTAAGTTGCATAGCATGAAGCCACAACCAATTGTTCAGACTCTTGACTTTGTTGTTGGTTTTCTACCACTTGTGCTTGCTGCTATGGCTAATCTGCTTTATTCTTGCAAATTTTCTCTATGTAGCTAAACTGTTTGCAGGACCTACATTGTATGCCAGGTCTAAACCAGCAGTGATTCTCTGCGTGGGTTCTCTTCTTGCAATATGAACATGGAGGAATTGTTCTTCTTGCTCCACTCTTTCCCCATTGATTGTTAGCTTTTTCCTTCCCCTTTCTATCTCTAGATATTTCTTATTTCCTCTCTGAATAGATTTCCCTTTGTGTGCAGCCATCATTGCTCCCTCACTGCTGTCTTCTTGTCTCAACGATCTTCTTTGTTCTTGAGTTTGTAAGGAATGGACGAGCTCTGTAAGGGAAATCTATGACAGGTCTTTTGAGTCTTCAAGAGATGAAATCATGGACTCAAATCTTTCTGATAGACTTACAAGCACTTTCTTTACTATCTTCTTATCTGTCAACTCCTCACCAAGTAATCTAATTTTGTTGACAACATTCATGAGTCGATCAACATACTCCTTGATTGACTCAGCTTCCTATATCCTCAACATTTCAAACTCCCTTCTCAAGTTTAAAACTTTCATGTTCGTGGTCTTATCACTTCTCATATACTCATCCTTTAGCTTATCCCAAGCTTCTTTTGCAGTATCACAAGCCATAATCCTTGTGAATACTTGATATGGGATAGTTGAGTGGATATGGGATAGAGCTATTGGAGCTTTTGCAATCTCTTCTTCATGGATTCTGATCTGGTTTAACGTGGGATTTGGTCCTAGTTGAGGTGGCTGCTTCTCTTCCTTCACATATTCCCACAAACCTTGGCCTCTTAAGTAAGCTTTCATTTTGACAGCCCACATATGGAACTACTCTCCATTGAAAACTGGCAAAGTAAGTGAAGTTGTGTTTGAAGCCATGAAGATGATTTTATAAAGGATTGACAGGGAAGTCTTTTAGTGAGAGAAGAGTTGAAGAAGATATGAGAAAGATGAACTCCACAAGTCCCTTAAGATCTCGATGAGTTTCTCTAATACCAAATGTTGGTTTTTAGCCAAAGAATGCAAAGGAAATAGTTTTTTGAGAGAAAGTTTTTTGCTGGAAAATTATCTGCATATTTCATTAACATAAACATAACTTATACAAGAGTTTTGGTAACTGTTACACCTAACTTGCAGAAGATATTTCAACAACTTTGAATGACAACCATACACAATAAACTAAAACAAGTACATTACATCATAATGATGCTAAATCACTAGCTGCTTTCACCTAAAACTATCAACTTAATCTTTCAAAAAGTCAGCCCAATTCAATTGCTCCCAAGCTAACAAATTTGAAACATGGAACTTGCAACTTGGCGCCAAAAACTTGCAGCTTCAACCAACAAACTCTTCTTCATATTTGTTGGGGAGAAAGTTGTAGATTTAACTCACTTTAGAGTGTGGTTACCCATTTTTAGTGCAGCAGAATTATTATCAAGTAGATTAAAACATTTCCAATTAAACACATCAAACACAATTGTGGAAAATAAAGAACACAGTCATAGACATGGTTCGACTAAATCCACTTTTAGCCTACATCCATGGGACCTTGTCCAAATCAAAGTAATCCACTAAGTTAAAAAACACATTACAAGATATAGTTCAAAGTCAATCTACGATACAGTAAAAAGAAATCCCTGTTCAACTTTACACTAAGCACCACACTCTGAATCTTTAACGTGTAGCAACTCCTTGGACCTTCTTCACTTCAAGAACACACCCGAGAATAGCTTGTGAACCACCAAGCTTCAAGCATCGATGCCACGCACCAACATCAGCAAAGGAACCACGTTCCAAGAGCCATCAAGTCTATGTTTGATATGGTGAGGTTTTGGCGCACAATGGAAATGAACCTTTGAAACTTAAGAGAAAGAATACTCTAAGAATTTCAGAGTATAATGAAACAAAATATCAAAATGTTAGATCCATACACACAAGAAAGGGTATTATATAATGAAGGGTTTCTTGCTCAACACATATGTCCCACATTAGCCAACAAGGGGTTGATCCATGTTAGTCCAAATAAGGAAAGTATTCCTTCTCTTGGTTTGGACCACAAAACAAATCAGAAAAAGAAACTTTATTCCCTTAGGCCCCTTAAGAACACTATGACACATGTAAAAAGATCCTAAAATGTGAGAGACAAAGATAAAAAATATCTTTTTCACTTTATCAAACACGCAACTCGTGCTGGGTTGTAAAAATCTGAAGCGAGAGTATAAGCACAAACTGTTTCGCGCACACACACTCTAAACAGAACAAGCCAAGACACAAGTTTGACAGCCAGTGTGCACGCAGAACTTATGTGGACACACACAACAAAGGAAATAAGCCAAATCATTAGATTGGAAACAAATGTGTACACATAACTGTTATGCACACACATAACTCATAAGTTTGACAAATATGAGTTTTTCACAATATTTCTAGCAAAATATCATCAGCTTCAAAAGTATGCAATAGGAAGCTATTGTGAGGCAACTTTCTAATATTGTTGACGTTGATTTTTGGGCACTATCAATCACTATAATTGAGTTAGGAAGGAGTCATCGAATCTTCAGCTTTAGGCTAACAAATAGTGAATGTTGTTGAGAGGTAGGATAGGTACTCTTCTCCTCCTAAGCTGTTTCAAATATACATGCAAAATGAACAAACAAGTTTCAATCGAAGCCGACAAGGGGGTTTTCTAACATGTACCATTTGAGGCTCAAGTAAGCTTAGCGGTCACTGAAATCTTTGGATTTCAGATAATAAATGATAGCTACTGGTGATAGGAAAGGAAAAAGAATAATATAAATATTTTCTTTGGCAGTCTTACAAATTAGTGTTACCTTTGGACGCTGTATATACCCTCTTTCTATTTATGATACTCTTGAAGTTTAGTGCTGGGCTAATCGAGGAAACGTGTCTTATAGCGAATTGAATTGTTAACCCTCGTAAAGATATAGATTGTTGACTTGACATTAAAAAATAATTACATCTAACTGATTGGTGTCCAACATTGAACTGTGAACCTTTCATTTAAAGGTCCACTTCTAAGCTGCAAACAAAGTTGCTGAAACATAAGCTCTGCAATCTCAAGGGCTACAAGTGCAACAAAAAAAGAAGAAACCAAAGTGAACTTACAGCTAAACTCCGTTCAGTATAATGATCCTAATATTCTATAAATTGTCTCATATTCTTAATACAACTTTGATAACTTCCCAAATATTACAAGTCTTATTGTTGTTTGCAGCTGAAAATGTGCCAACATATATTAATTATGACTTCTTTTCACCTCCCATCTGATATTATGTCAGTGAACTGAGTGACATCTCCTGGGGAGAGCAATGGATCAACTCCATGGCGAAGAACAGTTGGATTGTTAGATTCACTTTTCTTATTCCCATAGCTTTTTTCAGATGAAGTTGCAACACTATCTTCATTATTAACAAAGTCACTTGTTATGTCCTTAAAATCCCAGTCAGTCAAATAACTTGGCTTGGAAGTAACAATGCCCACTTCTATGTCTCCAGCAAGCATGGCCACAACTCTTGACATGGGTGGCCGCAACATTGGTGATGCCTGAGTGCACAACAGCCCAACTCCAATTATTCGAAGAGCTTCAATTTCATTAAATTCGGTTAATGTGGGATCGACCAACCCCAAACTTCGGTTATTTTCATGAAGATTCCATGCCTATAAATATCATGTAAAGAAGACCATTTGCAAGGAGAAAAATGAGTTTGTATAATTTAGTACACAGGAGAAAGCAAAGAAAATGAAACAGAGTTGAAGTTTATTCTTTACCCATTCAAGAAGATAAATTTTTTCAGTGTCCAATCTATTGTCAGAGTTTGCTCTTCCACTGATAATCTCCAAAGCAAGAACACCAAAACTGAATACATCAGCCTTTTCTGTCAGGTGTCCACGCATTGCATACTCTAGCGCCAAATAGCCTCTGCAAGATGATTGACAATAGTTAAAGGTTAAAATTCCAAAGTCTGGATATGTAAATTTAATTAAATTATAAGGTTAGACTTTCACTGAGTTCTTATACATGCTTTCAATGTGAAAAAATGGTTGAAGGAGCTTACATGGTGCCTGCAACTCTGGTGCTGATGTGACTTATCTTGTCATCGTACAACTTTGCCAATCCGAAATCTGAAATTTTGGGGCAGAGTTCGGCATCAAGTAAGATATTACTTGCTTTAACATCTCGATGTACAATCTTTGGTCTTGATTCCTCATGAAGATAAGCTAGACCTCTTGCCGTTCCCATGCATACACTAAACCGGGTAGGCCAATCAAGATGCAACTCACTATTTCCTGCAGAAATGGTAGCTCCATTAGTTGAAACTTCAAAGAGTAGTTAATATCTACTGAATTGGGAAATTTAGGATTCAAGGATAATATATTTTAATTAAGGAGAAATTTGGAGCTTTCAAAAACATGGTTATACAACCCCAAGGAAATATATTGCTTCTTCTAAGTGGTTTAGTTTCATAATATGAAACTTGGACTCATTAAATTTATATTTTGTACCAATGAATATATAATCATAATGTGCATTCTCATACCGAACAACACTTGATCAAGGCTTTTGTTTTCGAGGTATTCATAAACAAGGAGGCACTTCGTTCCTTCAATGCAACAACCATATAGTCTCACAAGATTACGATGTTGCACTGCAGAGATGGTGGCGATCTCATTTATAAACTGATCTTTCCCTTGGTGAGATCCCACTGAAAGTTGCTTCACAGCTATTATTCTTTCATCCGAAAGTGTACCCTGTGAAGAACAATAGCTAGTGAAAATTGACATACAACTTCCAAGGTAAAGTAATGATTTACTTGAAAGATATAAGTTACCTTGTATACAGGTCCAAATCCTCCCTCTCCGAGCTTATTTGAAGAGTCGAAGTCATTTGTTGCATATCTCAACTCAGCATAACTGAAAGTGTTTCGTTTAGGACCTATCGCTTGTAGCACTGCATATTCAAACTCAAAATAAATGGATTTTCTTGAATGGGAGACCTTAATAGTATTTCTATCGACACTTCCATAGCATTAGTCACATAACACCGAAGTATTTATATTACAAGACGTTACTACCTATTAAACAATTTCTCATGGAATGCAAAGAATCCTGTATTTGAAATCTAAAGTTGTGTTGCTTAACAAAATGTGCACAAGTCAATGAGCAATGTAGCAACTGCTATGTATGATTTTTACACCATCTATGGTTTCCTTACCTTCCTGATCATAATCATCTTTTTTCCTTATGAAAAAAACTGTAAATATCAGTATGAAGACCAGAATTCCCAGAGGGACTGCAACACCAACAATTAACCCTGTCCGGTTCTTTTTGTGTATAGCATTTGGCGGTATTCCGCTCACAGTTGGTACAAAATCTGAATTCAGTTAGTAGTAGTAAGAAGCAGATAAGCAAATGTAGTACAAGTCATCTTAAATGAAGATAAAAAGGAATCACAAGTTCACCTGGAACGACGCTAAGAGCCGAAATTGATGGTCCATAATCACCTTGTTTAGGTATGCAGCAAGTACCTTTACCAGCCCAAAATAGGTGAATTTCAAGATGGTTCTCAGACACAATAGCATTGAAATTCTTTGTAATTGCTCTGTTAACACCGCCTGCCTCCTTTGATATATCAAAAACCTTTAACTTGAGAGTTCCCTAGAGGACAATGTGGGAGTTAGAAATCATATTTCTCAACTCAATTGAAGTAGATGGAATTGAAATACTGGAATCTATGTACAATATTAATATGACCTCAGGACAAGTTTACCTGAATATAGATATCAAAAACACGCCTACCAAGGCTCTTCCATGTTTGTGAGCTTCGATCATCAAAAACTGTTTCGGCAAATAACAAGCTTATATTATAAAGGCCATTCTCAAGACCAAGGCCATAGTATCTAAGTGATCCAGGGGATAGTCTTGAAGTCTGATAAAGCTCTGGCGTTCGGGTTCCGGTCACTTGTGCAAGTGTATTTTGCACGTATGATGGATCTTCTCTATCAGAAAACAACCCCACATTACTAACTGCCCATTTTTCTGTACTCGTTACATTAAATGAAGCTGCACTAAAAGATGAGTTCTCAGTCTCATAGACTATGTTATCAGCTATCATCTGTTTACCACCACACTTGATTGCAAATTTTGCATCTGAAAATACGAAGATTAAACAGTATTAATTTTAATAACAGCATTTAAGTGCATTTTGACACTATATTATTGAAAAAGAGTTAAATAGAAGAAAGAAAACGGCCTACAGCGTGGAGTATTCCTATTGCAAAGGAAGTTTCTCTGAAGACAGTTCAATCCAGGGAAGACACTGGCAAGCACATAAAACATCACTGCTTATTTATATTGAAGATTCAAAAAGCAATGTGATGAATTAATATGCAAAAAATATGACACTTTATTTATCAAAAAAGGAATTCTAGCTCACCTACTATTTGAGCTGTCAAATGCGAAGTTGTTAGCACCAGATTCCTATATAATTCAAAGCAGCGATCAAATGTATTCAAAATCTGAAGTATTCTGTTGTTGAAGTATAGATGCAGGGATTATATACAAGGGCATTATGAAATGTGTTATGCTTTATTCATGTTATCCCAAATGGTTAAGTACGCTTTTTTTTTTTTTTTTTTGGAGAATCAATACAAGAAAATGAAGATTGTTGCTTGATATTAGCCCTTTGAATGCTAGAAAAGAGAATAAACATAAGGAAAGATGCTATATGAGGTCTACAATGCCTAAGTAGTCCAAAGCGAAGTCTTAATTTAGAAAATGAAGATGAAGAAAGACAGTATAACAGTTTAAGAGACATACAGTTGCAAATTAGAAGTCACCCATGACGGAAAGTTCCTGATAGATAATGTATGATAAATCTCTGGAGAAAAATGTTAAGTATTTTAGCCACCTGTGAGTAGCAACACATGTACCAATATATGCATATAACTAAGAACAATTCCAAAAGAATTCAATTGCTTCCATGCAAACAAACACGCACACACGCAGAAATGCCGTCATATTTAAAACAAAGGCTTACATGGTTGAAGCTTTTCACTTTTTTGGCTCGGAATGTTTCCCGACAGACTATTGTTTCCAAGAAACCTGGATATTGAATGGAAGGCATAAGGCTCATATCAAAATTTTAAACAAACTATAATTTTTCAATACTAAAGATCATAAATTTACAGATGGCAGATTGATGAATTTACAAGTGAGTAAGAGAACTGATATTGAACAAAGCACTCGGGATTTCACCAGTTAAATTGTTGAAACTCAAGTCCCTGCAAATAAAAATGAATTTTCGTTAAAACCAAGAAATTAGTGGCAATGCATTTGAGATTTGTTTCTAACATCAACTACAGAGTCATTAACTCCTGGTATTCTCCAATGTCAGAAGGAATTACCAGTGATCAAAGCATTTCTCAGAGATTACAAATAAGAAAACAACTGATTAGTGTAAAAAATTAAAAGATTAATCAAGAAGAATAGAAAATGTGAATTTAAGTATGTGTAAACTTACAAGTCAGTTAAGTTCTTCATTCTTCTAGAAATCAAGAGGAGCTAATGTTGTATATATCACTGATACGCCTACAAAATAATTCGAGGAAGACTAATATGATTCTCTTTGCATAGAGAAAAGGAAAAAGAGTAAGATATTGAAAAATCGACACCCAAAGATGTACTAACAAGGAGGTCAATGAGGTCAAGTTAGAAAAACTTGATGGTATAGGACCTTCAAAGAGGTCCCTTGAAATCTCCTGCAAGAACATTCAATCAACTCTATGTTATCATTCACATAACACATTGAGATAAAAATGCAAAAAGTTTTCGCAGCTTACAGGGATACGAGCTTGCTCCATTCCACTAAAAATCAGGTATTTTGCCTGTAAAAGGACTATCTGATGCCACCCTGAAATTTTACAGACAATCATTGTACGCTAATTCAGGCAAAGTAATCTTCCAGCAGAAATTGAATGCCATAAACATGTAGATGGGGATCTTTCTTACATAGTTTGCATATTACGAAGATTAGCGAAAGATGGGGAATTTCACCACTCAATCCACAACTGTTATGTATCTGTTAAATTCATCAATCAAAAGTTTCTTAATTTCATAGGACACAACTTTCGTGTCAAATTAGTACTACACTGAAACAAATAAGAAAGTTGGAACCTACATTTGCTCAAGCTTGGCTAAGTTACCAAGTTCTGGAGGGGTGTTCCTGAGAAATTGTTGGAACCAAAAGACCTGCATAACATTATGAAATAAATATATTTCTTTAGGAATGAGCAGTTATGTGAATTCAAACAAAAACTGATTTCTAATCACGGACTCAATTGAAAAGAGAAAACTTTTAAGACTTACAGAACAGTTAACTCCTTAAGGTTTCCAAGCTCTTGGGGACTGGCCCGGAGAATGCATTGTGGCAATTGACCTGGAAACAGCCAAAAGAACAAACAAACAGGCATCAATTAGCAGCATAACCTTAAGTATTAAAAAAAAAAAAAATTCTAAAAAATTTCCCTTTCAAGAATCAAAGTCAGTTATTAGTTAAAAGAATTAGTTGTCACATTATTTAGTATCATCTAACATAATAACTTAAAACTCTGCATATCACTCAAGAGAAAAACAAATGCTTCGGATTTACGAACTAGATCCTCTCCTTATCTTAAATTTTACATTCTACAGATTGCACGATAAATATTTGTTAATCAAGAGCACTGTTGGTTTGTTTTTAATGATGAAGTCATAAGGTTCAAATCAAGGAGACACACTCTGAGTCTTACTATTTAATGTGGGTAAGGAATAAAATCAATAAGACTTTGATAGTGAACCGGGACGTTACACGAATGTTTGTAATAATATGCGATTATAATTTCCTTTTTCTTTATATTAATAAGTAATTATGAACTCGATTTATTAAGGATAAAAGTCGGATTTGGAGATAATACTATGCATGGAAGCATTGGTTGGAAACCATGAAACTCATACTCACAATAACTTCAATCGAGATAAATTTCCAATAAATGCAGGCAAGGGACCAGTGAAATAGTTTTGATCGATTTTCCTACAAAACTCAATCAGAAAAAGATGATAAAAAATTAGTGTCCGATGATCTCATCATGATGATATAATATTAAAAAAAAAAATTAAATGAGTGGGAAAATTCATACAAAAATGTCAGATATTTCAAATTCACCAGTTCTTTTGGAATCACTCCTTTTGCTCAGTGCATACACCCTCCTGCAAAACAAATTAAATCTTATCTGCATTCACAAACTAAAAATAAAAACTTATGCCATGAATATCACAATTCCAAGTATATTTGAGTATTTTTATCATTATATTATAAGTTGTTGTTGCAATATCGAACTTGTAGATTGAACAATAAACTTGTAAACATCACGGCCCGCATGATCCGAGCAAAGAGAAAGGAAAGCTTACAGTTGGGTGATATGGCAGGTTGAGCTATCGTCATATGCAATCACATTTGATAGCAGGATTATTTATAGGGTCTTCAAATTCAGTATCATTGGTGGCAGTTCCAGCCATGGCTCTCCACTTATGTTCCACAATCCTTCCACTGCTTCTGCTGCCCATTTTCAAATATTGAATTCAATGCCCTCACTGCTCACAACACCATTCATATCGAATTTAATACAAATTTGGATGAATATATATTTTATGCCAAATTTTATAATTAAAAAAAAAAAAAAAAAAAAAAAAAAAAAAAAACATTGTAATTTTTACATAGAACATTACCATTTCTTCATAATGTTCTTTTTTGTTCCCTTTTGTATAACTGGACTTAAAAAATATTTATGGACTCAAGTAAAATATGTAATCAACAATTAATAGAGTGATGGGCTGTAATAGAATATATTTTGATTTATGTGAAAAGCAATTTTTTTATATATGGTTTAATAAATAGTATTAGATGGTTTTCAATATTTGACTACTAAAAATTTGATGGGTTTTTTAAAACCAAATTTTTTGAAAACAATTATATATATATTTTTATATTTCATAGCTTTATTTTTTAATTTCTTTTAATATATATGGTTTTTAATTATTTTTGTTTTTAAATTTTGATTTTAAATTTTTTCTTTGTTTTTATGGTAATGTCAAACTATCTTTTAATTTTGAGTGTCTTTATTTTTTTTATTCATTTAAAAAAAAAAATTTTGAGGGTTTTCTCATTTTTTTCCTTAGATTTTTAGATTTTTTATTGAATTATATATACTTTTTATATTTTGAAACTTTTATCTGGTCTACCTATTTTAGAAAAACAAATTATTCCCACTTGATGTGATTGATCATTGGTGGACCCTATTTTTATGGAGCCCATGCAAAATTTCTTGGCTATCTTAATTTGGTTTCCCACGATAATAGAAAAATTCACTATTTAAATAATAATATATTATCATTAATTTAACTACAAACTAATAAATTAATTATATATATATTACACAAATCTTACAATAATTTTTAAACTGTTAAGATTAAAACATTTGAATGGCTGAAATTAAATCAAATTATGTTATTTTTCAAGTGCAGTAAATGTGAATATTGTATTGAATCTCAACAATTCATAGGGCTATCCAATGGCCTAAAACTGTGTCATTATTGGGTTAAAAAAAGGCCGAACGACTGTGCATACCCAAGATTACCGTAACGATAGTTGGTACCCAAAAAGTTTTGAAACGACAAATAGGTACCTTTGTCATGTTCTGTTAATGATTTTTGTTATTAATAGTGAAAAGACTAAAATGCCCTTCAAAGTTTCAATTTTAGTTTTTTATAAATTTAAAATATCTAAAAAACCCCCTAGGTTTGTAATTTAATTAAACACCCCCATATATAAAAAGTTTGTTAAATGACAAAAACACCCCCACCACCCCCGTGCCAGATTCCGGCCACCATCGCCGGAAATGGCCGAAAACTGCATATGACACAAATCCATCGGATCTGTGTCGTAACGTACTGATCTGTCTTTCTGGCCAGATCTGCCACGGATCGGCCGGAAAGGCAAGATCTGGCGTCAAAGCAGCAGCCAGATCTAGGGCCAGATCCGTGGCTGATCTGGCCGGAAAAGGCAGATCTAGTGCCAGATCTGGCCGTCGACGCCGCAGATGGAGTTTTGCGGCGTCGAGGCCAGATCTAGGAGTAGATCTGGCCTTTTCCAGCCAGATCAGCCACGGATCTGGCCGGAACAGGCCAGATGACTCGTTACGACACAGATCCGACGGGTCTGTGTCGTACAAGCAACTTTCCGGCCAGATTCCGACGGTGGTGGCCGGAATTGACACTGTGGGTGGCGGGGGTGTTTTTGTTATTTATAAAATTTTTATATATGTGGTATTTAGTTAAATTTGTAAACTTAGGGGGTTTTTTAGAAATTTTAAATTTATAAAAAACTAAAATTCAAACTTTTAAGGGTATTTAGTCTTTTCACTATTAATAAACAGTAATAAACAGAAATCACAACAGAACATGACGGAAAGTACCTATTTGTCATTTCAAAACATTTTAGGTAACTAACTTGTCGTTACGACAACCTTGGGTACGTGTAAGTCGTTCTCCCTAAAAAAAAAAAAAGAGAGACTACAGAACTCTGCCCTTTATATATATCCTTATGTAAATTTTGTGAGAATCATGTTTAAATATCATTAGATGATTTATAAAATATCATTTTTGTCAAATGATGATGAGTCCAATAGTATAAAACATGTTTACAAAATTTAAGTAAGGACTACTTTTATATTATATATATATATATATATATATATATATATATATATATATATATATATATTAATTTTTTTTTTTATTTGGACCAAGTTTCACTATACAAAATTCAACAGAATTTGCAACTACAAATTTTTCATGCAACGATTTCTTCACATAAGTACTTTGTCCAATTAAAAGAAAGAAAAAACAAGATATTTCAGAAGTGGAAGAGATTCATACACATTAAAAATCAAATTCATATGAAAAATTTTAATCTTGACCAACTTTACTTATGTTGAATTTAAAAAAAAAAACAAAATTTCAAACGAATTGGAAACTCAAATTTATAATCATTGATTCAATGTAATCTAACGATTTTTAATAAGAAGTTAGAATAATTAATTTTTAATTTCAACTAAATAATTTTTAAACCATTAGATCATCATCAATCAATGGTCATGAATTATGTCAAAAATCTGTGTTAGTCCATATTTACATATTTCCGAAAGATGATCAGTATTTATAGGCATGAACAAGGCAGACGTAGAGTAAGTTGAGGGTAGGCCGTGGCCCACATCAAATTAAAAAAATAATATGTAAGTTTTTTTTTTTTTTTTTGACAATTTCAATTAGACGTAGAGTAAGTTATGCAGGCGGATCTAGAATATCC